AGCTCCCACGGCAGGTGGGCTCGGGCCCCAGCTCTGCACCCACCCTGCATCCCCCACGGGTGGCTGCCAGGATGAGCTCCCAGCCCTCTCCTCCTCCGGACGCCGTCCCCGTGGGGCAATGCCGCCAGAAAGGGAGGCACACCAAGCCTGAAGACGGGACCCATTTGCCAGTGCATTTGTGCCCAGAGCCCAGGGCAGCATGCGGGTGCCGTGCTCTCAGCGGGGCTCGTTTGCCGCAGGCTTCCCGCACGCCTGCCCTCGTTTCAGGGCCGCGTGGCGATGCCTTGGATGCTCTTCTGCTCTTCCCCATGCCCAGATGGACACTGGCTTCTGCAGCCCTGCCAGTCTCCTGCTGCGTGATACGTACGACCATCCCCGTCGCTGGGTCTGGATCTGCTCGGCAACAGCTAATTTTACTATCGAGTCAAATTCCTCTTTTATTTGCTCTCGGTGGCAGCAAGCCTTTTCGTCACAGACGCTATTTGGGCAATGCAGTGTGACAGGGGTGATAAATCATATCACTGCTGTCTCCTTGTCCAGTAAACACCACCATAAATTCCTTAATCGTATTTTTTGTATGGGGAGTTACAGACAAACTCTGCACGCAAAGATCACCTGCCTCCGCCGCTGGGCTCGAGCACTGGGCTCAGACTCGGGGCCATCTCCAGCCGGCGTTTAGCTCTTGCCGGCGGCACCACGCTGTGTTGAGGAGCCCAAACAAGAGTATTTGTCCCTGCATCATCATTATCAAAGCTCTTCCCACCACTCCATCGCATATTTTGCCTCCATTTATCCCCCATTGGAGGGGTTTGGGAGGTTAAGGTGAAGTCCTCAGAGCCACAGGGTCCCTGTGTCTTTCTGCTGGCTCACGGCCACCCCGGCTTCCTTGGCTGGTCTCAAACCGCCTCCGAGTTCCCTTCAGGTTTTAACTATTAATATTTAACCTATTTATTCCTACCATTTTGCCCTGTTCCTGGGGAAATCCCAGCCCTCCAAACTTCAGCCACCCGGTCCCAAACCCCAGGGGCGGCGCGGGGGAAGCTGGCTTTATCGTCCAGGCAGCGATTTTGCTCACCCTACGAGAACCTGCCCTGGCAGATCTACCGACCACCTTACACAGCACCGCTCCCACGCACGGCTCGTCGACCGTCCGTGGAGTCAAACCTGGATTTCTGACACCATCACATCTCAGTTTTGCCCCCCCCCCGGGGGGGTGAGGAGCTGGGGGCACTGGGATCCCCCTTTCCTGCCGCTGCCTGATATGACCCTTCCTCTGCAAACAGTTTGCTGAGACTGGGGAGGGGGGCAAGTTTGGCTTTTGCAGACCCTGGAGGGACGGGATCCTCCAGGATGCTTGCAGGAAACCTTACACGAGTGGGTTGGTGCCACATGGAGAGAGCCCAAGGCCGTGTCCAAAGTCTCGAGCGAAGCCCATCTGCACACGCAGAACATGGCAAGGAGTGGGGGGAGAGGCTGGGCAAAAGCTAACTACGCTGGGGGGGGGCACGCTGCCGGCAGGGGGGGAAGGGGGGGGAGATTTCCGGGGGCCCGG